TCAATCGATGAAGTCGATGCTGATTTTGACATAAATTGAATTAAAATTGAATTTTATAGCCCATAACTTCTAAAATTCATGGAAAATCAATTTTTCACCAAATTAAGTATTTTTGGTGTCATGTAAAAGGTGTTGACATATAATATTTATTAAAATTAAATTTAAGTTAATTTGACCAATGGATTGTGAGATATTTGAGTTAGATCACATTCCAATTTTCTCACAATCCAGTGGTCAAATTGGACACAACTTTTGATGAAATATTTTTTATCATCTTAGGCATGCCCTACATTTTTCCTGGGTCAAAATGCTCAGTGGATTGTTCTGAGGTGAATTTACAAAGTGATGGGTCCATTTTGAACCCAAAGCTTTAAAAATTCATAACTTTCTAAATTATTAGAATTATACTATCTAATTTATGTGGTATGCTTCTATCAATATTAGGGTAAGCTGGACAAAGATCGTAACCTAAATGAACACTAGTGACACATAGGAAAAATAATTAAGGACATGATCTAATCAACTTAGAAACATTCTTGGAAAGTATGCACACACCCAATGGGCATGAAAATTAAACACAGTGAACTTAGTGACATTATACACTATATGTTTAAATTTCATTGAATTTGAAGGTAATTAGATAGAAAATTAAATAAGTCAAAATTTAACCTTTTTAGGGACCCAAAAACTTTAAAAAATTATAATAAATCCAAATTAAATAAAAAAATATAAACAATATATAAAAATTACCAAAATTTGATCATCTTCTTAGGAAAAATAAAAGCCTCATCACTGGACCTTTAATTTTACTTTAATTATTTTAGTGAAAATCAATATTTAATTAAATAAAATTATATTAAATTATTATAAATTGTAAACACCTAAAAACACTCCCATTGGTCATCCCTAACCATTGGTAGTGATTCCATGCAATTTAGGATGATTTTGGATTAAAATAATCAAAACCATCCTAATTTAATAATTAAAAAAAATCAATTAATTAACCAAACTTTGAAAAATCATAAAATAATTCTAGAAAGTTTTAGCAAACTTATAGTTTAATTATTTATCTTAAGGTCTAGTATTTAAGAAAAATATTAAAATTCCAAAAATCAACTTTAATCAAAAAGTCAAAATTTGACCCCTTTAATTAATGCATTTAAATAATTCAAATAGTCCTTAAAAATCAATATTTAATTTAAAAGTTTAGAAAACTTTAATCCAACATTAAAACCAGTATCTAATCATTTTAAGTAAAATTTATCAACTTCTAAACCTTTAATCAATCAAGCTAGTTAATTTATACATATTACTACTAGGTAACCCGGGTCTACGAGGCTATTGACTTAGCACCAAAGAGGGTGAAATAAACTTCATGCCCTTTGTTTAACAAAGGTAGTGATCATTTAACATTTAAATATATTTTAAAATCAAGTTTAAAACATTAATATTTTAATTTGAATAAAAATTATTTTAATCCTTCAATGAACCAAAACATCAAATAACATGATATATCTAAATCACACAGCCTACCTCACACACCTTTGATAGTTTGCTAGGACAACCAACTCTAGTTTTAGGCTAGACCGGTGTTTTATTTTCTAACTATTATGTGCTGGGCATTTCTATTTTTCACTTCATATTTTTTGAAAATTTACTAATTGATGTGATTGTTTATTTAATTTTTATAATCTATATATTGATGTGTTGAGCATTAGATTTACCCTTAGGTTAGGAATGATTTAAATGCTAATACAATCTTATGCATGTGGCATGCTCATATAGGATATTAAAATTAAAGGGGGCAAGTAAAAAAATTAAGCTTTTAAAAATTGATGATGTTTTCTACAGGTGCTTCAGAATGTTATGTTCCCTTTAAAAATTAAAAGAACATGACAAAGTGTGGTTGGCTTGAGAGTTTTAATTTTATTATATAACTGCTTGAGATTATTTAAATATTAATTTCCTAGGATAATCCTACAGGTTGTTCGAGTCTAGATTTTTCCTTTTCATGTAATGTAATTTAAATTCAATTGAGTTGTAATTATTAAAGTGATAATTTGAGATGGGATAGATATCCAATCTAGAATCTAAACAGAAGGGAGACATCCCCTAGGGGAGAGTCCCTCTTCATTTGGATACCCATATTATGATACTTTGAGAACTCAAAGAGAAAAGAAAATACCCCTTTTAGGGGAAAGTTTCTTTTCATTTGGATATCCATATTCGATGAATCTAAGGAGCTTGCATAAGGAAGAAGAAATGAAGATCGAGAAAAATCTCATTCTCAAAGTCACTTAATTTTTTGGAGTAGAATCTAGGTTGTTATGAGTGGTACCAAACCACTTTACTTTTTGAAGACCCTCAATTATAATATTAAGTGGCACTTGCGAGATGGACTATTAAATTTATTTAATTAATTTGATTTGATTTGATTAATTATTTATTTTAATTACTATTAAGATTGCTTGGTTTTCTTAAATTTTTGTTGTTGCATGTCATAATTTTATTTAGCTTGGAATCCGATCAGAGGCTCATAAGGAAATGATAAAATATTTTCTACCTTAATTAAATTTAAAAATTTTAAGCTCAGATAGAAAATATAATAATTTTAAGAAGTAAGCTCAAAATGTTGAGGGTCTCATGCATCATATTTTAACCTTCTCTTCCGTGTTAGGCACCTTCTTGCATATGGGTTCTAGTAGGCCACCTGACATATTAAGATGCAGTCCAGTCAAGAGAAAGTTGTGCAATCTTTAGGAAAAAACTAATTTTTATGCCTTTTTAAAATTACTTCATATTTGATTTAAGCATTTATCGAGTCAACTAACAAGCATTGCATTAGATACAAATATAAAAGTGTCTAAATTTTAATTGCATTTTTACTTTCAAGCATCAATTTACCCAATATAAGTTAATGAGCCAATTAGAATCAACTCTAAATGTCAGCCCCAACTCATCTAAACTTAATTAAACATCCCTACCACTTTGCATTAAAGGTCGAATTCATGGGTTTTAAGTGATTAGGTGGTTAGCTAGCACCCCAATCTAGACCAAGGTAAGTCCAAATTTTCACTACATTAGCTAGGTTTGAGTTACTCATTTTTCAATGCCCAATTTAGACTTAAGTTCTAAGACAGGTTCAGACTATAAGACCTCAACTTTTCTGGGAATATAATCCCAACATTATATTAAAATTTTTATTCAAATTAAAAAATTCTCTTCAATACAGAATTCAAGTCTAACATATAGGATAGGTTAGGGTATTTCTAAATTATTTCAGAATTCCAAACACCTCTTACCACTCCCCCTTTAACTTCCAAAAATAATTATTCAATCTTGATTTAATCCCAGTTGAAATTCAAGCCTCGATCCTTTGAGATCAATCTTTGAAAATTCAAAATAAAATTTTTACCTTTTATTTTAATCGAGAGTATTCGTAAGAAATGTCACTTTTCTATGATATAATTAACTATAAGGGATTGTGCTCATAGGAGATTTAGAAACTCATATCAAGTTTTTCAAAATCTTAATTAATTATATTTAGGAAAATTTAAATCAAAATTAATTATCGTTATCGTAATTTTTAAATAATCAGCAATGATTCATATCTTCTTCCCTTAAGAGGATATATCAATTATTATTGTAACTTTTATTATGAAATTAATGATAGTATATACCATATCCTCATTTATTATATACAATGACCATATGTGTAGTTAATATCATGTGTAATATAGAGCCTAGGAATAAAAAAGCTGGCACAACCATGTATTTTGGATTGGTATGAGGCAAGCATAGGCATAGTGCTTGTCATATATTAAATTTATAAAGATGAATTATCATTAGGGGGTTTTAATAGTACATATTTTACTTAATCTTCTAAGATTCTCATAGAGTGATAGACTATTGGAGTTTAGAATGGTATTGAGGTTTGAAGATTTAATCTATCCTTTATATTTTCATACCTAACTAAGTATTCAGTGATGCATATGTTTTGAATAGTATCAACATAAAAGAGAATCATTAAAAAATATATTGTATATATATTCCATCAATCCAAAATAATTTATCCAAATAGTATTTAATTTATTTATTTTTTAAATAAATAATTGAATCTCCACCAAAATGTATTTTTATTGAGCAGGATAATCATTTTAGTTTAAGTAGATAGTATTAGTATTTGCAAGTAAATATTCTTCTTCGTGTGATCGATACTATACTCTATCATTATATTATTTGATTTGGTATGTATACTTGCATATATTAAGTACAAATTTTATATTTTTTATATCAAAAAAAAAACCTAAGCATTATTTAGGGATTGATAGAGTCCTAAATCATTTTCATAGTTCTTTAGGTTAATCTATTTCCCCATAAAGTTTTTGGCAACATTACCGTAGAAAATTTTATTTTATTTGCAAATTTATTATATTATTGAATCAATTGCATAATTACTCCTATTATATTTTTTTATTTTAATTTACTAATTACAAAAATTTGGTTACGTTCTTACAAGACATAGAGAGAAGTCACATTTAAATTTTGATTTTGAAATTGAGAGAGCCCTTTCAAAAATTAGAACCACCTAAAAGATTTTTGTAACGACCAACCCTATTCAAAACTTAATTCATTCTAGACCTCTTAAGGATTTTTCAAATCCTTTAGTAGATAGAATTCACCAAAGCATAAATAAACTTTCCATCCAAGCAAATAATTTTAAATTAAAACCTGCGATCATTTAGATGGAATAGAATTCTCAGTTTGAGGAAACTCCTACTGAAGACCCTAACCTATATTTAACAAGTTTCTTAGAAAATTATACAATATTAATGTATAATGGTATTAGTGATGATGCTATTAGACTTAGATTATTCCCATTTTCTCTAAGAGATAAGAAAAAAATGTGGTTAAATTCTTTACCTCTATGCTCTATTACCACATAAAATGAGTTGGCCCATAAATTTATAAGAAAGTATTTCCCATCTTATAACACAATCAAACTTAGAAATGATATTACTTCTTTTACTCAGTTAAAAGAAGAATGTATTTATGTGAGTTAGGAGAGATTCAAGGAGATGCTTAAAAATTTCCCTCACCATGCATTACCTAATTGGTTAGTAATTCAAACTTTTTGGTAAGATCCCTTAGAGATATAATTGTTGCTGCAGTTGGAGGTTCTTTGATGTCAAAGCCTTTTGAAGATGTTTATTAATTAATTAAAGAAATGGAAACAAATAATTTACAGTGGCCTGCTAATAGAGTGAATCCTAAGAGAGTTGTTGGTCGAAGATTTCTAAATATCATGTAGTGGATAATCAATAGGAGAATATTATTTGTCTTAAAGGCTTTAATTATGTTATTTTTAATTATTTTGATAGTGATTGTAATAAGTTAGTTGATCTTTATACTAACATAGCTCTTTATAATGATTTTCTTTGGGATGATTTTAGTTTGAGTAGTATTCCTCCTTATTTTTTTAATTTGTTAAAGGAGGAATGCTAATTTATTAGTAGGTTGTAATAGTTTCTTTTTAATGTTATTTCTTTAGCATCTTTCAAAAAAAAATCTAGAATAATTTATTCAAATAGTATTTTACTTAATTATTTTTATTTTAAATTAAGTGATTGAATCTCCACCAAAATATATTTTTATTGAGTAGAATAATTATTATAGTTGAAGTAGACAATACTAGTATTTGATTGTAAATATTCTTCCTTGTAGGATTGATACTCTAAAATATCACAATCTTACTTGATTCAACATGTATACTTGTGTATGTAAAGTGGGATTTTTATAATCTTTATATCAAAGAAAATCTAAGCATTGTTTAGGGATTGATAGAGTTCTAAATCATTTTTACATTTTTTTTAGGTTACTCAATCACCCCCATCACTCCTCACAGGTAACAACGTTACCACCATATACCAACTTATTGATAATCTCATCTCTAAATTCAATATGAAATATCTCAGTCTTGCAACAAACTTTCTTGGCCTTCAAATTTATCATCACCAAAACTCTGACTTCATCTCCCAACACCCCTACACCACTGTCATACTGTAACATGTACACCTCAACTAATGCAACTCCCTCTCCAATATTTCCTCTTTTAAACCTCCAACCACTCCTCCCACCAACTCCATTCTCACCAACTCAAACACATACCATCATATAATATGTTTCCTTCAATATCTCACCATCACTTGACCCAATCTCTCCTTCATCTTAAATCAACTATGTCACTACATACACAACCCTATTCCTCATTATTCTCTGCTCCTCAAACATCTTCTCCACTATCTCAAAGGAACAATTCACTTTGGCCTACAAATCCATAAAGGATCACTCATCCTGACCTCCTTCGACTCTGATTAGGTAAGTTATACTTCCACTCAGCGACCTACCACTTTATTTTGTTCATTCCTCAATTACACTCTCATCACCTGGAGCATCAAGAAGCAACACATCGTTGCCCACTAATCAATAAAAGCTAAATACAGAGCCCTTATAGCTGCCATCACTAACATAATTTGGCTTCATCACTTACTCAAAGAATTTCTTATTTAGCTACCTCAAGCAGCTGATTGGTGTTATGACAACACCTTTGATTTCTCACTCGCTAATAATACCATCTTCCATGCTAAAACAAAATACATAAAAATATATTATCATTTCATTCGTGATCATATTCAATCTCAAGATATTCATGTAGTACCAATTACCTAGTAAGACCAGCTCGCAGACATTCTGACAAACCTCTCTCAACTTACTAGTTCCAACTATTTTAACTCAAGATGATAGTTAAACATGAATCATCAGCTTACGAGGGGACTAATAGAGAGAGTCACTTCCACATCTAAAGGGGAGCAGCCATTACTAAAGAATCTTAAATCACCAATATAGCTTTATAACTAATTTGATACATCTCATCCATATAGTTGTAAAGTATTACCACCTTAGGCTTATATAAATGCATATATTACATATGAAAATCACCACAAGAAATATATCACCAAAAATGAATATTCTGCATAAAGTTATCATCTTCTTTTTTTCTCTTAGGTTCTCTTTATTTCTCACAAACATAGCTCAGTATTCATAGCAAGTGATATCTCTTTACAATTGTTGACTCTATTTATAATTTACACTATCCAAGAGGAAAAGAGGGAGTGAACAAGCCTTTAGAAAACTTTAAAACATATTTTTTATAACAAAAGAATATGTAAGGATGTTCCTTGCATAACATGACACTAAGCTCACAAACAATGACCTTTTTTACAAAAATTGAAAATTCTTTATTATTAAAATTCATTCATGATTTGATTTCAATTTCATTTAAATTCATTATTATCATTTTTAGTTGAAATCATAATTTAATTTTTTATCTTATGATAATTGCATGTGTTGCAATTTTTTTTTCCAATATAAATGTTCATGTTTTTTAAACTTTTCTAATTTAGATGTCATATATTCCATGGCCATTATCCAATATATAACCAAATAATTTAATTTTCAAATAAAATTCCCATAGACATCACATCCTAAGGCATTTTGAAATGAGAAAATATGGAATTTATCCTAATACATCTATCATATTCAAGGTGAATGTTTCAATCCTTGAAAATTTTATTGTATTCTCCTCTCTTTCTCCAAGCAAAAACCAACATTTTTATTGTAAAAATTTTGAATCAAATCAAATGAAGTTTATTATATTTGTTCTACTATTGGATCCATGTTTTTTCTGTAAGCAATACACAATGTTACAAGCAGGCAAGCTCAACAGACTAGAACCCGAAGGCTTGTGACTGAGTAGGAAAGAAGAAGATTAAGAGAATGTATTTTAAATGTACATATTCACCATTTATTTATAAGTATACAAGGGATATATGGAATGTTACACTAAGAAAGATAAAAATTATAATAATAAATGAAACCCTGAAAGGATGCCCTAAATAAATGTCTTGCTCTGATAAGCATTGGTAATGATTGAGTCTTCTACTCCAACTCCTCAGCCTCATGGTGAGTTCTCTTGCACCTATTGTTCACATGTGAGTTAATGGAGGTGAGTCCACAACAAGCCAGAAGGACTAATGTTGATGAGTTCTTTAGCAGTATTAAAAACTTTTTACATGGTGTCCTTCAGCTATCTTTATGAGGGGTGAATTGTTACAACCCAACCTAGTATAACCCCTCAAATGAGATAGGTCATATCATGTAGGATGGAGGCAGACCAAGCTCAAGATCTAAGTTTTGGAGAGCTTTTTAGATTTCTCTCAAGTATTAATAGACAACTTAGCTACTAAATCACTTCCAAGAAATAGAAAATAACTTATCCACAATTTCTCCTTTTCATTTATTTAAAATACATATACAATAAAATCATTAGAATACAGTATATGGCAACAAAAAAGAATTGAGTAAAGTAGAAAATAGTCATGACTATACCAAATCTATAAACAAGAAAATACATATACATACTCATAAGATCAAAACCTACAATTGCAACTGCTCAACTATCTCCTTACCAGATGACTCAGTAAGTCACACAGCTAATCTAAATTTTAATAAATAATCAGTGCATTTAACTAAAATTAAGAGAAGTTAATAATTAGTTACAATATTAAATAGAGAAATGCTAACATATAATCAAAGTTAAATCAACTTTGCATAAAATATAAATAAATATTTTATATATCAGAGCAAAAAAGTAATAGATTTTTCTCAGGCCCTTATACCTCCAAATAAAAATAGATATCAGAGTTCAGACCCCTATGACTCCCTCTACTAGTACATCAAAAAATAAACTCCTATGACTCCCAAATTCTTTGCACACCAGATATTCAGAATGTAATGCCTTATAGCTCCTAGTACATTTAGCATAATAGAATTTCCTTGAACATCCAAAACTCCCTATAATCACACATATTAAGTAGATTAGTGCACATATAATTGCATTTTATTAAAATAAATAAAAATTAATAAAATGCATAAATCCTAAATTTTCTATATCGGTAGCCAATATATTCAACAACCAAGAATAATTTTATAATTTTAGAATTTCACCAAATTATCAGGAATTATTCATAACACTATTGTGAAGCTCTAACTAAGCTAGAGCATTATTTTTTGAGGTCAAAAATAATTTTTAATTTGCTAAAAATAATAAACTTTTAATTTATCTAGTGAAAATCTTTAGATAAAATTCTAAAATGTGAAGAATACTCATACTTATAATATATAGATAATTACATTGTAAAAGTTTAACAAATGTGAAGTTGTCCTTATTTTTCATTATGACTTTATAATTTTAATAAAAAAATCTAAAGTTTTCATATTATTAAAAATGGAAATAGGCAAAATATAACCTAATGATGGTGGGTGCTTGTTATTGGTCTTGGGAACTAAACGAGATGAGCTACATTGAGAAAGAATGCAATTCGAATATGCTTTGGATTCTTTATATAAAAATAATGAACACCCACTAAATACTTAAGTATATGTGTCCATCAAGTAATAAAGTGATAGAGAAGACTGTCAATCCCTCAAAAAAGTGTTCTACTCAATTTCAATTAAACTTTTACTATTTAATCTAGATGCTTAATTTATCCTACTAAATGTAAAATGGATATTTTTAAGTTTTTATCACTTAATTAAGACTTGGAAAAAATTGAATACTAACATAAATAAAGTGTATTGGACTAATGAATGCAAAATAACATAGTTTCCTTAATTAGACTCTTAATTTTAGATGTGGATCAGAGCATATGCATCCCTGGATCTCGATCAAGCTTATAGGAGTGAGAAAAAAATATTTATGGCCTTTCTATAATTATAATATCTCCATATCCTAGAAGATTTAACATTATATATCTAGGTAACCCAACATTCCATTTTAATACTCCTTCTATGCACATATATATTATATATTATATATATATATATATATATATATATATTAAATCAAGAATATGAGATATTAAAAATGTTTATAAACTATAATTCAAAGTACAAGAGTCTTGTTTACATCATTAGCCCAAAACTTAGAGATTTAGTAAGACATGAAAAACACTAAAATACAAACTCATATTTATTTCACTCATATAA